ATGAGTTGACAGTTGTTGAAGCTGAGTGATGGGTACGTGGGGGTGCATTATACTATTCTTTCTACTTTCGTATATGTCTGAAATTTTTCAATATATAAGCTTTTAAAAAATTGGTAAGGTGGGCTTCCCTGGTGGCGCAGTGGTTGAGAGTCCGCCTGCTGATACAGGGGACACGGGTTCGTGCCCCAGTCCGGGAGGATCCCGTGTGCCGTGGAGCGGCTGGGCCCGTGAGCCATGGCCGCTGAGCCTGCGCGTCTGGAGCCTGTGCTCCGCCGCAACGGGAGAGGCCACAACAGTGAGAGGCCCGCATACCGCAAAAAAAATAAGTAAATAAAAAAAAAAAAAATTGGTAAGGTGTAGCTAGGGATCTCTGTAATATAGTTCCTGTATCTTTCCCAAGTGTTTCTTTTTTTGTTTGTTTGAAATATAGTTGACTTCCAATATTATGTTGGTTTCAGGGGTACTACGTAATGATTTGATATTTGCATACATTATGAAATGATAGGTCTCATAACCATCTGTCCTCATATAAAGTTATTACAATAAAGTTATTATTGACCATATTTCTTATGTTGTATATTACATCCCCATCACTTATTTATTATGTAACTGGAGGTTTGTACCTATTAATCCCCTTCACCTATTTCACCTACCTGCCTCATCCGCCCCCACATCTGGTAACCACCAGTTCGTTCTCTGTTATCTATGAATCTGTTTTCTTTTTTTTTTGGTCTGTTTTATTTTTTTAGATTCCACATATAGTGAAAACATACGGTATTTGTCTTTGTCTGACTTATTTCACTTAGCATAATGCCCTCTAGGTCCATCCATGTTGTCACAGATGGCAAGATTTCATTTTTTACGGCCAATATTTCATTTTTTCTATGTATCTCACATCTTCTTTATCCATTTGTCTATTGATGGGCACTTAAGGTGCTTCCATATCATGGCTATTGTAAATAATGCTGCAATGAACATAGGGGTGCATATATCTTTTAGAATTAGTGTTTTTATTTTCTTCAGGTAAATACTCAGAAGTAAAATGGCTGAATCGTATTGTTGGATGTCATTCCTTTTTTTTTTTTTTTTTTTTTTTAGGAGTACGTGGGCCTCTCACTGTTGTGGCCTCTCCCGTTGCAGAGCACAGGCTCCGGACGCGCAGGCTCAGCGGCCATGGCTCACGGGCCCAGCCGCTCCGTGGCACGTGGGATCCTCCCGGATTGGGGCACGAACCCATGTCCCCTGCACCGGCAGGCAGACTCTCAACCACTGCGCCACCAGGGAAGCCCCCATTCCATTTTTAATTTTTTGAGGAACCTCTACACTGTTTTCCATAGTGGCTGCACCAATTTATAATCTTACCAAAAGTGCACGAGGGTTCCTTTTTCTCCATAGCCTAGCCAACACCTGCTATTTGTGGTCTTTTTGATAACAGTCATTCTGACAGGTGTGAAGTGATATCTCATTGTGGTTTTGATTTGCATTTCCCTGATGGTTAGTCGTGCTGAGCACCTTTTCACATGTCTGTTGGCCATCTGTATGTCTTCAGGCCTCCTTATTTTTTTTTTACTATTTAAAAAATTTTTTTTAAATTTATTTATTTTATTTAATTTTGGCTGCATTGGGTCCTTGTTGCTGCGTGGGCTTCCTGTAGTTGCGGCGAGTGGGGGCTACTCTCCATTGCAGTGCACAGGCTTCTCACTGCGGTGGCTTCTCTTGTTGCGGAGCATGGGCTCTAGGCGTGCGGGCTTCAGTAGTTGTGGCACGGGGGCTCTAGAGTGCAGGCTCAGTAGTTGTGGTGCACGGGCTCAGCAGTTGTGGCTCGTGGGCTCTAGGCACGTTAGCTTCAGTAGTTGTGGCACACGGGCCTAGTTGCTCCGCGGCATGTGGGATCCTCCCAGACCAGGGCTCGAACCCGCATCCCCTGCATTGGCAGGTGGATTCCCAACCTCTTGGGCTTGGAAGCCCAAGCCTCTTACTCTTGACCTACACATAAATAAAAATTTTCCCAAACTTGAAGTATAGAAAGAGAAAAGTGGTCAATTCAGAAGAGGAGGAAAAGAATTTGAAGACGGGGTCGGGGCAAGGGGTTGGTGGGGGAACCGAATGGAATTAGGGGGAGGGAGAAGACAAGGGGGAGAGGGAAAGGGAGGCAGGGAGGAGAGTGGGAGGTGGAGGACAGGGTGAGCAGAAGCCCTGCGAGAGCTGATGGAGGACTTGAGCCGGTGCCCCTCACAGCCTGGACGTGGCTGGAGTTCAGCAGTCTCTGTTGCCAGGGCTCGTCTGCTAAGTGGCAACAACGAGCATGTGAGAAAGGGTCACCAAACACACCAGACCGTGTGCACCCCAAGACACCGCTCCACCCACGTTCCCTGGGATCAACCCGCCTCAACTCTAATCCCACAGCACAGACACTGTCAGCGCGACGGCACCCTCCCCCGGGCTGTGCGAGTCCCAGCAGCACCATGGCCTCTCCAAGGGGCTGTGCTTCAATCTCTCCAGCCTCCTGAAGGCCCTTGTTTCTGCACCAGAGTTCTGGCAGAATCTTCTGAAGGCAGTGACCGGGGCCAGCCTCGCCCTGGGCAGGGGCTCCCGCTGAGTCAGCCATTCATTCTTCCATCTTCTCAACCTGCCTTACAGGAAGAGAGCTGCTCTGTCAAAGCACCATTTTTTTTTTTTTTTAAATAGTGATCTTGGGGTCTTCTTATTTATTTTTATTTTATTTATTTTTGGCTGTGTTGGGTCTTCGTTTCTGCGCGAGGGCTTTCTCTAGTTGCGGCAAGCGGGGGCCACTCTTCATCGCGGTGCGCAGGCCTCTCACTATCGCGGCCTCTCTTGTCGCGGAGCAGAAGCTCCAGATGCGCAGGCTCAGTAGTTGTGGCTCACGGGCCTAGTTGCTCCGCGTCATGTGGGATCTTCCAAGACCAGGGCTCGAACCCGTGTCCCCTGCATTAGCAGGCAGACTCTCAACCACCGCGCCACCAGGGAAGCCCCAGAGCACCATTTTAAGTAGTCTCCCTCCTCAGCTCTGACCTTCTCGGGGCAGAAGGGAAAAGGCGTGGGCGAGACAGGCCCTCTCTCGTGATGGGGAGTGAAGCTACAGTTCCCGAAAAGCTAAAGCACGGGTCCCAATGCCTGCCCTCCACTCGCCCTTTGGGATCCTGGCTGTTTTGCTCGGTCTTCTTTGTCTCACTCGTAAAGTACAGAAGCAACTTTCTGCTTCCGTTTAGACAAGCTAACACAAACACGGTGAGAACTTCGAAAAGACCTCTGCCCTCCCACGGCCCAGTTCCTGCTTTGCACTCAAAGCCGCGTCTGGGTGCTGAGGCTGAGGGGTCCCAGGGTAACCCTGGAGGGGCTGTGTGGCTGCCCTGAAGTCCCACTGCAGCCTGGCTCCCACCAGCCAACACGGAGCCACAGGACCTGAGGCGCTGGCCTTACTGGTGGCAACAAAATCCCTCACCTCGGAGGGGAGACACCACCAGAGTTTCAAACGGCCTGCCTTGGTCAGTGCACCATCAGAAAGAGGGGAGGAGGCATCAAAGAAGTTGTTAGTCTGATGTAGGAAATCCCATCAGACTAACAACCGCTAACAAGTGCAGACGTGACGCAGTGATGCTTCAGTGGACGAGTCCTCAGGGGCAAAGCACCTGGGCCGAACCAGCTGGGCACAGAGGGAGTTGTGGTCTCCCAGACCCTTCCACTCCAGGTTAGTGCTGCAGCTGTGAGAGCAGGCTGGGGTCGGCTCTCAGCACAGGTGTGGGCCTCTAGAAGGTGGACCAGGTAGTCTGAGAGGGGACGCTCACACAGCCCTCCCCAGCGGTGTCTCATAGGTCTTGGGAAGGTGCATTTCCTCTGTCACAGCAGGGCGGGAAGGAGAGGAGGGGGCTCCATCGCAGGGCCATGGGCAGGAAATGCAGATCCAGGTGTCACCTCTGTGGCTATTATACCTTCTTTTAATATTTTTTTCTAATAAAAAGCGTCATTGGAACAATTTCATTCATGAATAAATGTGGAAAGGAGCAGGAAGCATTGGCTGGTAATAGGATGCAGAGTGATTGTGAAATAAGTGGAGAGAAGGACACCTAGCTACTTTCAAGCATGACACAGGGTGGTCGTAACTGTGAAACTAACTCCATCACCTCAATAACATCCCCACATTCTAGGTTTTACCCCATCCTACAACAAAGCCCATCCTTACCCCATGATTTTTCGAGCTTCATTTGAGCCGTCAATTGTCAGTACTTTGTCCAATCCCGGTCCCGGGAGAGTGGACTGGCATTGTTAGACTCTTCGCACTGTGGTGCAACCCTAGAGACCAGACTATTTCTAGGAAGACTCTGTAAGGCTGAGCCTCTCTGACTCCATAGACCACCCATGTGATCTAGGCTCAGCCACTTCCCCCAGGAAATCTTCAAAATTCTCTCTGGTTCAGACCCACTGCTTGGATGTGGCCCACAATGCATCTGGCTTGGGCCACCATGTTGCTCCAAGCGATGTTTGTTTTCCGTAGGTTTTGGCGTCCAGCTGATAGCCAAACATTTCCACATTTCACTCAAGAAAACTGAAGACTTTCTTGTGAAGACATGAAGAATCTAGATTCACTACACTGAGGTCAGGTGATAGCTGGCCCCCACTATCTACCAGCGGCCAGCTTGTTGATAGTTGTCTTTTCCGAAGCCAAGCCAAGACCTAAGCTCTTTAGGAAGAGAAGGCCCAGATCTAATTGAGCAGGGAGATGAGATGCCAGCTTGTCGACGCTGCATCTCCAAGTCCCTTGTGTCTCTCTGCAGACATCTGCTACTTTTGGCTGCAACATGACAGTGGTGTCCGTCAGTAATAGCAATGAAGTTACTCCTGAGGCTGAACATTGGACAGACTTGTGTTTATTTATTTTGTTTCCCTTCATTACGAATGGCTTTGATTATAATGAGTACATTCCACGGATTGTTATCGGATTTCAGAATCTTTATATATCTGCAGTAAAAATATTTCCTTTTCATACCAAGATACTTGATACTTAATATATATTTCAACTTTAGCTGAAGTATATATTCAGCCTCATAAATAAATATAATTTGCACACAGATGTCTGGCCAAGTCTGGACATCTTCACAGAGTGGGAGCCTGGGGCTGGAGGATAGAGGGTGAGAAATGCCCTGGCCTCTTCCCTTGTTGCCATTGGCTTGAGTGGTTATGGTTTAGTAAAGCAACCCTGATCTTGGACTCATGTTCTCCCAGAGCAAGTGGGGAAGTATCGCCAGCTATCAGCTAAGGAGCTTTGCCCTGGACTCTTGGCCATGTGCACAAACAGTGGGCCGGTTAAAGTAGATGGTAATGAATTCCTTTTCCATGTAAACTGTTGCTCTAACTGCATATGCTATGTGGTGACCTGTCTGGTCTCCAGGGAATCTTCTCCCGAGGTCTGTGGGTGTTGGACCTGTGTAAAGAAGGCAGGGTTCAGAGCCTCTGGGGATGCCAACCCCTTTTCTCAGTCCCACAGCTTGCCTTGCCCAAGAACAGAGAAGCTATCTGGGACCATATACCCTCAAGCCCCTTCAAGTCTGTGCACCTCCTACCTTATCTGATGTGTGATCTCCCCACCCCATCCCCATTCACCCTACATGCAGTTGCAAGATCAGTCTCCCTAAAGAACAGCTCTCGTCTTGTCACTTACCTGCCAAAAACTTGTGATGGCTTCCTATGTGAGTTACAGAATGATGTCTAAACTCCTTAGTGATGAACTTACTTTGAAACTCTATGTGGCAAGGGAAATTTCCCATTTTCTTATGGTTGTAAAGTTGACATCTGCCCCTTGGATTGTGGCTAGGAGGTTTCTCCATTCCTGGTAGACCACTCTTCCAGCACGTGTCCACAACAGGCTGCTGTGTGAAGCAAGACATGGCACCTTTAAGCCAGGGTTTCATCTTCCTGGCAATTACTATTGGCTACTAGGACAGTCAAAATCATCAGTCATGGAAACGTGATCTGGCATGGGTATGAGAAAGAGAATCGATTGATGGCACCTGGTCCTAGTAATTGTCATTCATGGTTATAAAGCCAGGAGAAACAGGTGTGTGTGTGTGTGTGTGTGTGTGTGTGTGTGTGTGTGTGTGTGAATATGTACGGGCACATAATCACGAACTGTACATCACTAAAAGTCTACTAACCAGTGGACCCCAAAGAAGGTATTAGTTGCCTCCTAATTGTAAACAGGGCCTGAGGACTTCGACCTAGAAGCTTGAACCGGGAGCTCTTGGTACAGGCTGGGAAAGCTTACTGGGAGTGTGCTCTAGGCCGGGAGGTTTGCAGAGAATCAAAGCCAGCCGCCTATCAGGAGGCTGAAGTCGGGGAGCAAACCAGGGACAAGGCAGGAGGTAGGTGCAAGTGGAACAATCAAGGCAACAACAGCAGACAGAGGGAACTTTGACACTGAAGAAAGCCCAGACGGAAGCCCAGCTTCCCAGGGTGAGCCCTGCCCCAGCCCGGGCTCTGCAGCATTGCTGTGCAGGGGGCCCACACCAGGCCTCAGGGGTCAGCCTGCTCCCTCATCAGTGGGAACATGCCTCCCTCCACTGTGCCCAGTTCTCTATGTCCAAGTCCTCCTCAACTAAGAGCTCAAAAGCAATGCCTTTCTCACCCCAGGAAGAAGTGGCTACATTCCTTCTAACCCTATTTCTACAAAGATATTCATTTTTGCCACTGAGTTCACCTAATCCGGAGGCCCTCAACTCTGGCAATACAATAGCATCACCTGGTGAGCTTTTATAAAATATTGATGGCTTCACCCCCAAAGACCCTGATTTTTGTTGGTCTTAGGGGGAACCTGTGCCTGGAGGGGTCCAGGTGACCCCGATGCGCAGCCAGGGCTCAGAATGACTGACTTCAACCATTTCTCGGCCAGCAGAGTCTCAGCCACGGAAGACACTCCTCCAACCCACGTGTTTTACTCAAAACTTCCCAAAGGTTCCCCTCTCACACTTAGAACAAAACACCTGCCCCTCAGTTGTGCCAACCAAAACATCTGCAGACATTGGCAAATGTCCCCAGGGGGACAAAACTGCTCTGGTTGAGAACCACTGGGGGTCTACCCCTCCTTCCTGGGAACGTCAGCCCCACCCTGGTGAACCCTTCTCAGAGGTCTGGGTTTCATCTCGGGGTCAGGGGTGCCCCTGGACGTGCACAGCTCTCTCCTGCTGAACTGTGGGCTCTTCATCCACCATCTTCCCGACTCCCTGTGCACCCTCTTTCCTTAGATGGTGCCTGTTTCCTCACACACAAGGTCAAGGGTCCTCCAGGGGAATTGGTTTCTAAAGCACCTGGCAAACTTTGAAGGAGAAATGACCTGATTTGAGGCCAAGCAGAAATAAGTCAAAAGTCTAGAGATTCCGCCTATCACTGGCTGCCATATAGGTGTGACAATGTTAAGCCGTTATGCAGAATGATTTGTAAATAACTCTAATACAGTTCTAATATTACAGGGAAGTCTTGTGAAATAAAAGGCTGACTACTCTCTATTAATCACTGCAGAACATTTGAATGAAAGCTGGGAGAGGAAGGAAGCACAGAGGGCAGAAAACCAAGTGATCTGACTGGAGTTCAGACAACAGTCTCTGAGGGGCACCCCCCAGGATGGGATGACGTCATTTAGCATTTAAAGTTGTTGCTATCTGTTCCTTCAAAGGGAAAAACAACCATTTTTTGTTTGGTTTGGCTTTCTTGCCTTCTGGCTTAAGATTCAGCACATCACCCAGGTTGATGGATTTCACTGAAATATTTCCCCCAAATGACCTACTTCATTTTCTAATACGCTGCCACCCGCCGACAGCATAGACGTTGACGATTGATATTCCGTAATTTTCAGTGACCAACTGAAGCTTTCCTGCGCGCTTCAGTAATACCGCTGCTTGTTACAGGTAAAAATAAAGAAGGCGATCATCATGCTGGTGGAAAACTCAGTTGCAGCTCTAAGACGATATAACTCTAAATTGTAAAAGGATTAGGAATCCATGGCTGGACTGAGCACAGGTCAGCAATTTCACGTTAAATTGCTTATTGCAAGGTGGGGTGGGAAGATACTGCAAAGCAAATCCAATTTACCTTGCAAATAATTAGTGAGATGTAAAGGCCTGGAGATGGAAAATTTCTTTGAAATTAATTATTGCTGGTGAAACCTTGCCAGTCTCTTTCAGCAGCAAGAACAGTCTGCAGCTAGAGATTTCATCTCTTTGAGCGCTGCTGAAAGGATCTGTTGGATTCTGATCTAAAATCAGCTCAACACTAGCATTATAGGGAGAAGCCGGTGCTGTACAAGGAGCTGAATAGTCAGAGGGTCAGATGAGCTTCAAAATGCACAGGGAAGAGAAAACTAGAAAGCAATATCTGAACCGAACAATCGAGTCGGATTTAGGGGCCTTAGCCCAGTCTAGTAACCCAGGTAACCGTCACTTCCTTTGTGTGGATGAGGAGAAATGAATGCCTCCTTCACTCCCCTCAGCCAGCACACCCTCGGTCACTGAAGACAGATAAATGGAATGGAGTGACACATCCCATTTCTAACATGCAGTTCACAGTACCCTCACTTGGGAGCATTCAGGCTCTGAGGCAGATGTCGCAAGTAGTTAAAATCATCAGCGATGACTGGCAAGGAAACTTGAACAATAAAGGGGCTGGAAGTCTAAGTACCCCCGTCACCCCCATGGGAATGGGCCTCACGTCCCACAAGGGAGGGGGTGTGAGGAGAGGGCAGATCGTTTCAGGGCACTGAGGTATCCTTTGTCCTTTGCATCTGCTAAGATGGGAATGATAAGAACAGGTTCTGCCGGCCTTGCATGACGCAAGGGGGAGGGGGAGATGAGAGAGGGTAAGTCTGCAGGAAAATACAACTGAAGGAACAGGAGAAAACAGCCACCCGAGGCTGTTTTGCCTACAAAACATTAAACAACCAGAGGTGTTATTGGTTTGTGTGGTCTTTCTGCTTCTGCAGAAACAGCCAAATCAGTCAACACTTGGAGAGCAATGGGACCTCCCCCTGCCCCCAACCATGTTACTGCTTTTGTGGCTGCAGCTGTAGAGAGACATGACTCACTCAGGCTGCAGACAAAGCTGCAACTCACAGGATAAGGGGGGTGGGAGGGAAAGACGACAGAGAAAACGGATCTATCAGCAGATTTTCCTCTCTAATAAGTTGAGGCTTATATACATACACTCAGCCCAAGGTGGTACTAGCCCATACTCTCCAGTATGAGCATTAGGAAAAGGCACCTCTTTCTCCAGGGCACACAGCTTGGTGAGCAGACGGCAGGCTGAATTTTAGGGTGCAGCCACTAAACCAACATGCACACACCCCATAACCTTCCATATCAGTCATGTTCCAGCAGGAAATAGGCGGTGCATTCAAATTAGGGTACTTCGAGGAGAGTTTAATAAAGGGGCATCCACTAAGGTATGGGCAGAGTGTAGGGAAGGAACCACAAGGGAGAGCACAGAACTCCTAGGCTGAAAGGATGAGGGTCAGGGGGCCACTGGAACCTGGATCAGGCGAGAGGGTCACCTGACAGGTGCTGTGACCTCTGGAGAGCAGCTGGTCAAAGACAGTCTCGCATGGAGGATGCCCAGGAAATAAATACCCCAACCTCACTCTGCTCCAGCCCTCCAAACTCCTTCTGGGACTCCACATTGGCTGAACTCACCTGGAAAGCCACAGGCGGAGGGAGTCCATTGATGTGGACTGTGTTGGGCAGCCTCCCAGGCGGAGAAGCAGGTAGAGGATGGAGAGTGGGTCTGGGGGTGCACACAGGAGGGACCCACCATCCAAGGCAGGGCCACCCCAATCATTTATTCATCTTTCAAACAAGTGTTTAGAGCTATCTCCTAGGTGTCGCACCAGGTTCTGAGGACACACTGACATGTCTATAATGGATCCCTAACCTCAAGAAGCTTTTTTCTAGTAGGGGAGATGGGTTTTATTGTTGCTATTTGTTTTTGGGTTTTGTTTTTTTCTCTTGCCTGTGAATCAGAAATCTCCTCTTCCAAAGAACAGATCCAACAGTCTTGGGAAATTGGAATTTGTTTCTCTTTATTTCCATCCTTGTTGATTAGAGGGGACTGATGTTATCCTGAAGGCTCCTGACGGCTCGCATTTTGTGAGTTTGTCTGCTTTATAAAATATTAACCAGAAAAATATTAAAGTTTGCAAATCCAGCAACAGACCCAGAGGGACAAGGTGATGATACAATTTTCACTATGCTTAAAAAAAAAACCAAGAAAAACAAACCAAAAAAACACACGAGAAGCATAACTAACAACAAAGGGGAAAAAAACCAAGTGGAGTCTTTTTTCTCCTTTCAATGTAAACAGGGTAGTATGGGTTTGTTTTCTATGGACAGTGCTGATTCACCAACGATTTAAGGATTACTAATGAGTGTTTTCACTTCTCATTTACAAATGGAGTATCTCTGTGTCTTTTAATTGAAACCTACCTCTCTGCATCGACAAGCAGAATTTGTTTTTCACTGCAGGCAGGGGCTGGTTGACCTTTTCAGCTTCAGAGGGCCTGAAACGTGGTCGACACAGTCACTCTTTTCACATCAACAACGCATGAGATCTGCCTAAATAGACTAACCAAATTGTCTGACTTTTCTCAGAATTCAGAACTCATTGCCCTAGAATTCTCTTCTCTTCTCTTCTCTCCCCACTCCCTCTCTCTCTCTTTTTCCCCTCTCTCTCTCTTCCTCCCTCTCTCTCTCTCTTCATCCCCCTCCCTTCTGAGCTCCTTTTAAGTGGACAAAATGCAGCAGGAGATGACACATTTATTAGCCCGACTTCTACTCTCTGCTTGAAAATATGAAGCAAACCATATTTGCTGGAAAAAAATATTAGCCCA